AGAAAAATAAATGGGAAAGAAAGTATCCAAATTAAATCTGTGTTGGTTTCAAAATTAAAAAAAAAATGTGCAAGAAAATTGTGTTTTTAAATATTTCTAATAAAAAGTAAAATGAAAGAGTATATTTAATTATAAATGATTAAACAATTTATTAAAATGCTTATTATTTGCCTAATAAACTTTGAAATTAGTTCAATTAAAAAACATAACCTTAAGACTAGATGGAAAAAATTTCGAAGAGGAGATCAAATAAAAAGTTATACATATGCATGTATGGAGTAGGTGTATTTAAGAGAGTAGCTACTTTAAAAGAATATTGAATTTTCTAATATTAAGCAACGCATAACTCTTGATAGTGATTATAAAAAATAAACTTTAAATTAAGTAAATATAATTTAATTTTAGTCTTGTCAAATAGTATTATACCGAATAAATAATTTCTTTAAAGTAAAAGACTTTGAATATTGGCGAACATACATAAGTATATACTATTCACAAATTGAGGTATCGCATAACTAAGTTTAAACGCAATTGAATGAAGATGTTGAGCTTATTAAGATTTTTTCAACAATATAATATGTATGTATGTACTTATATATAACCATGTTTACTGATTTTTCCAAGGACTTTCCATATAGAATCTTTTTAAAAGTTTGCATGGAGGTTTTCCATTTAATGAAAACTAATGCGAATATCAATTTGTATGCAGTAAAACTGTTAAAGAATGGATTGTTTTGGCTTTTTCTGTTCTCAATGGAGCCATTTCAATAGCAGACACATTGTTGGAAATGACAATACCTAATACACGTAAATGTTCATATACCTATATCTTAAAATTTTATTCTGAGCAAGAACATAATTTCACATAAATAATAGGAACCGTCTCTTTTGGCAAACCATACGTCAAGAAATATTGAATATGATATATTGAAGGTATGTATATGTATATGTATGTAAGTATATATGATATGTGAGTTTCTGTAGAAAGGTAAGATAATTAAAAAATAACAATTTCTTAAAATCTTTAATGAATTTTCAAAGTTTCAAAGTTTTTTAAATTCTCTGCTTTGTAGTATTATGTGGCTTCAAGTTTGTTAATTCTTATGCGGTATTATTTATTTTCGGTATTATTTTTAAATAGTGTAACAATTACGATGTAATCATCGATGTTACATACAGTAACTACACATAACTATATCAAGCTATACACTGCAAAAAGTAGAAATCCATACCATTTAAATTTTAGCTCAGCCACTTAAAATAATTTTTAGTAAAAATAAAGTCTCGTCAAGTAAGTAGCGCAGTTGTGTAAATTTAAAATTTTTTAGTTGTTTGTGGTTAAATTCTAAAAATTTTTAAAATTATTCTAATTGTGGTTAAAATGAAATTTTTGATTTTCAAAATATAAAAATATAAACATTTTATTTATTTAAGCTAGTTGTGTCATCACACATCTACTGACAAAGTGCTAAAATTTACAAATAAAATATGTTATTACTTAAAGGTTCTATTGCAATTTTTTTACTACTTGCGGTGTTATTTAAAGTAAGATTTTAATATTTAATTATAAATTTTTAAGTTGATTTTAAAAATTTCTTTACTTTATATAGATGAACGACGCTTGTTCTTGTATTGGAGGCTGTCCTCGTGCCGGTATTAATATAGGAGATCAAAATGCAACAGAAATAATTATTAGAAATAAAAACTTAAAAAATGATGCTAAAAAAAGGTTCAAAGGAAGAATTAAAGAAATTTTCTAAATAAAAAATAAGTTTTACATTGTAAAAAAAATATGTGAGAGTTTTTTAATCGAAACCAAATAAACGAATAAAATATTAATTAACTTACAATTTTTAAAATAAAAATTCTACTTGCATCTTTAGTTTTGAAATTTATTTTAGAATATTCAAACTCATACCTAAATTTACTACCAACTGTTTATGCAAATATAATAAACTAAAGCTAAAAATTCTGTTGATAAATCTAGCCAATTTCAAAAATCAATTTTGAAAATATTGAGAATTATGGATATCTTACTTTTTATTATTGCAGACCTCAGTCGAAAATATTGTTCGTCGTTCAGATTTATTTCACATAATAAAGAAAATGTTTCTAAAATTTCGTTTTTGCTCCATTTTCAACAATTACGAGCATGGAACTTATTACTTACTGGTTTATATAAAAAAAATATATTCTAATATTCTTGAAAAAATTTTAATTGTTTAATTTTCAGGTGGTACAGGAGAGTAATGCATTCATTACTTACCTTTCAAAAATATTTTTTAATTATTTTGTTCCTTGTCCTATTCAAAAATGCATTGACGGCTAATTTTAAAACGTGGAATTAAAGCATAAACTATGCTAGAAAGGAGTAGAAATTCTAGAGCAACATATTATACTATATTAATGATATTACTCCAAACTCAAATTCAATTAACACATTGGGTGTCAGGTAGAGCAACATTACTTACATTTTTAAAAGCATATTAATTGTAATAACTGGTAAAGACCACTGGTAAAGACTAAAACTATATGAAAATTCTATTGGTTTTCTAAGACGTTAAAATTGAATGAAAATTTGTGTTATTATTTCAAAGCAATTGAAATAATATTATTGTTTCAAAGCGTAATTTGCGGTCTAGAACTTGTATTTAAAATTGAACAAAAGATTTTAATCATCCACAATTCATAGAACTTCTAAAGAAGGAAAATCTTAATAGAAAATCGCTAACAAAATAATATTTTCAATAATGCTGACAATTAAGAAAGCCGACATAGTTTTCATTTTTGTATTTGTATTAATCGCTTGCCAGGTAAGACAAAATATTTGGAATTTTAAAATATAAAATAAATTTTATTTTTTTTCTCAGATGATACAAAAATGTCACGCATGTGTTAGTTACCTTTCAAGAGGTAAAAAATGAAATAAAATATCTGTGCTTTAAATAATTAAAAATTAATTTAAAATAAAATGCAGCGTACTTTTCTAAAATTATTGTTTCATAACTTATAATTTAAACCTATGACTTGAAATTCAATAAAGTAATAAATTATTCAATATCAACAAAAATTTAGATGATTTTTAAATATTTTCTTATTTTATAGGGCTACTGTAGAAAGAGCTAATTTGAATATTTTGCTATTGCAATATATTTAGATTGGATTAAAATTTATAAAAAAGACAACTTCCATCTACATCCAGTTCCCATTAAAGTAATCCAAAATTCAAAACCTGTCGCATTTTTTTTATTAAATTAGAACCTTATACTGCCGTATTGTGTTGAAGAGCTATAATTCTAAAGAAAATTACATAAAATATAAATGATTCAGTGTTACTCTAAAATATGCAAGCTATTGAATTCAAAATTGAAAATACAATTTGTATTTACTTAATATTCAAAGTCAATCAGACACAAGTTAACCGAATCGAATTTTTAATTCAAAAATTTTCAAATATTACTTGTGATGATTAACTTGAATAATATTATTAATCATGGAGACTTGAATTTACATAATAATATATGCGATGACATACAACATTGTATGAACAATAATATGTTACCAACTTTCAGGTTCTAATAATTTAATTATATAATTCTATGCCTCAGTTTAATCCATCCAGAAATATTTGACAAAGATATGTCAAGAATTTTAAAAATTTAGTTGAATTTGGGCAGCAAAAAATTTCTTAAATCAAAAGTATTCAGTTGATATCAAATTTTGAGTTCTGGTATTATTGCCCCGGGGTTTGTTGCAGTTTATAACTCAAATTTAAACCAAAATTGAAATTTACAACTACAATCGTTCAATGCCGGACTCTGAAATATTCATAAAATTTTACCAAATCTCGAAAATTGCAAAAATTTAATACAGTGTAATTTTAATATAATTCAAGCTTAGGTTTATACGTATATCTGCGTGAGTTAAATTTTAAAGCATACTTGACCTGAAGCAGATTAGCCTTGATTAAAATTTAACACATTCAGAATACTATAATATAAATACGCTTGTGTTTCTCGCTGCCGTTGTTGACCAGGTTTACATAAAAAAGATTATTAATTAGAAATTTAAAAAAATTTGATTTTTAGTATCTACATATGTATGTATGTATGTAGATACTAAAATTTAGAATTTTCCAAATTTTCAATTGTTTATTGTTCTAACACGATTCGCGGTTGAGAAATTCAAAAAAAAAAATGATATTCATAGTTAGTTATAAGTAAAGAAATTTTATCATTCCAACAAATTGCAAAATATTCAAAGTTAAACATTATTTGTAATTTGACAAAAACTTGTAAAAAACTTTTAAAAATGATGTTGTCTACTACGGAAATAGGATTTGTTTTGCTTTTTGTGTTCTTAGTAATCGCAATTCAGGTAAGTGAGTACAAGTTATTTGGTTTTCCAAACAAAACATTAATAATTTTGACTGAACTTGTCTTTTTCCTTAGATGATAAATGAGAGCCAAGCATGTTCCTGTCATTACTGCACTTTGCACACAAAACAAGATCGCCTATAAAATGAGTGTATTTAAAAAAATGTTGAAGAGAATTAAAAATGTTAAATATAATAAATTTAAGAGAAATAAATAAATAGTAAGAAATTAATAGTTAAATGCAGACAATTTAATTACAATTATTGATTATCGCTTAAATTATGCTGAAGCAAAATGAAAATAAATGATGATATTCCAAAATAATATTAAAAAACTTGAATGAGGTCATCTATATTGATAATAAATTACAGGTTACATACTTATTATTCAAATTTTACTTCTAAATAAGTATATAGCAAAACACAAACCTAAAACTAATTGTTTTACAATTAATTCATGCAAATTTTTGAAAATAATTCTAGTACACACTATAGGGGCACACAAGCATAAGTAATGCATTTTTCTAATTTATTAAAATATGCAAGGAAATTCTCTTTCTTAATTCAAATCAAATGCACTTTTGTGGTTATAAATGAATCAAGAAAATATATTTAAAGCTTGCATCGAAAACTAAATTCAGTAGTAGACCCGAAACCTCCTTAACAAGTTAATCTTGAAAGAACAATTCAACTACAAAAAAAAAAAATCAACAATGTTGTTCGTCAAACAAGCAGTTACAATCTTCCTTGTTGTACTAGTTGCTGCACAGGTAAAAACTAAATAAATTTATGTACATATGTGCGTACATATAGCACATACGTAACCGTATATTATCAAATATGCAACAAATATTTTAAAAATAATTTATTTAAAATTTAATTTATATCTTGTATTACAATTTTTAGATGGCATACGGCTGCCCCAACAATAATCTTAACAATGGCAAACGCAAGTAAATCAAAAGCGAACGATATCATCATCCTCTATAAGAAGCTTTAAAAAATATACCATAATAAGATATTTGTATTTCATATTAGATTCTTATAATTTGTAATAAAAATAAGTTGAAGTTTGGTCACTATCTATAAACTTAATAAATAAATAATTTTATTTTTAATATTTCAAAGAAGTTATTTTGAATTTTATTCTTCATCTTCATTATTTGATTTCTATTTTAAAAGTGAATGAAATTTTTGACAGAAACCAACAAGAAATGAAACCTTAAAATACTATTCTTTACTTAATAGTTAATATTAATTCTCAAACATATTATCGACCAGAATGGGAGGTTATGTTATAACACCAAATTTAGCATATCGAGTTTTTGGTGGAATCCATGGTAGAGAAGCGTAAATATTATCGATTTTACATTTTTCCGCATATGAAGAAAAATAATCAACTAACTTCATTGAAATACAATATATATTTATATATTTGGAGTGTTAATACAATGAACCTTTAATTTTTTGGAAAGATCAGGGCTTGGAAACCGAACTAGTGGCTGATTTTACATTTTTTTTGCCATATCTACGGAACTATAATTGGTGAAATTTCTTAAAATTTAATTTTTGAATGTTATGGATCTGGATGTTACCGAAACTAACTTGTCAAGGAATTCGGACCGCACAAAGTGAAACTCTATCCTAAGAGCCAATTTTACATTTTTCTGGGTATGTTAACTAAAGGCTTACTAACTCTTTAAAAATAGAAACAAGTGTTTAGTAGGCATTTTCATAATGTTCTGCAAATCTTCTTCTCATTAACCTTAAAAATAAAGGAGCAAATAATTTTTACTATTCAAGCATAAAGAGGAATAATATTTTAAAAAACATAATTTAAATGCAACTTTATACGAAATTAAGCGTTTGTCATACTAATCGGTATTAACGGTAAATGTTTGGACAATAAGTGTCTTAACAGTATAATAAATGTCTTGACAGTAAATGCATATCAAGTGCAACTGTATCAAAAAAGTATCAAAGCTCATAACGTATATAGTCCGTATCGTGATGTATGGAGAACTTTTTTTGATGAAATTAAATTTTAAATTCTTCAAAGTTATTATTGAAGTTGTGATCCTTCCAGCAGGGGTTGGTAAACACAAGTAAGTGAGAGAATTTTAAAATCTAAAGAATATTCGTAATTAAAAATTTGTCTTATGAATTTCGTATACTAATAATTACATACGTATACATTATGTATGATTGAGTACTTAGAGCTATCTAATCAAAACCAAGAATTTATATTAAAATATACAGGAGGTCTGAAAAGTTCCCGTACTTTTGGAAACACTAATTTTACAAGTTTGTTCTAAATTTTTTTGTTAAATATTGTGGTTACTACTCTAATGAATGTCTCTGACCAGTTAACAATGTTGATTTCTTAATTCAAGTAGCAGTTCTAAGCGGTAAAAATATTTAAAAAAAAAAGTACTTTTCAAACACCCTGTAAATCCCGTAATGAAAATCACTCGTTCAATATATTTCGTTACATGATAAAATGAAACTACTACTATCTCAATTTTTCAAATCTTAAGATGGAACAGTTTATTGTCTTGTTAACTACAAACCTAGCTTAGCCTAATAGAAATTGTAACTTTTAAATTGATATATTAAGTAAAAATTTAAAAATGAAATTTTTTATTTTGTTTTTCATTAAAATTTTATTGAAATAATTACAAAAATTTTCTTAAAAACAAACTATTTCTTCTTTCCATTATTAAAAATTGTTTGGTGATTAATATGAATGGGAGCCTTATTACAAGAATTTACCATCTAAAAATTTAATAATAATTAAAATTTTAATTTCATTTGAAATATAATATAATTATTATAACGAATATAGTCTTACTTGGCTTATTTGTAGAAAAGCAATTAAAACTAAAAAATAAACTTTTGAATATAACATTGCAATTGATAATGGCAATTTTTTAAATTAAACTAAATTTAATATTTTAATAAAATGTCTTTTTATATTATTATTATGCATGCAAGCATAAAATAATTCATAAATTTCCAAAATAAATTACATACAATAAAACCACTATGTTATAGTGGTTATATAAAAAGCAGAAAAATTAATGCAATATTTGCATATTGTAGAATTGCATTTAACATAAAAATGTATAAACTTTAGAGTTATTAAGTTGTAGATTTTTGAGTTAAATGTAAACTTTAAAAAGTTCTTGAATTCGGGGAAATAATTTCTAAATTCAGATATACTTGTTTTCGAGCTACAGCCTGTCGAAAAAAAAAGATACAAGATTTTTTCTGAATAGAGTAGCCATCGGAAGCTTGTTTTACAGGCGATTGGTTGCTCTTTATTTTCGGTCTTACAATCAATTCTAATCACACATTCTAACACAATCGAAGTTCGTCCAAAACAGAATCTAGAAATTGAAAAAAAAGGAAAAACAGGTTTAAATCCAACATGTTTTATTATACAATAGGTACAATTATACAAAATGTTTGAAATTCAATTATAATTAAAATTATTTTCTTTTCTTCAAATTGTTGTATATAACTTGTTCATTATAATGAATTGGAGCATTATTGCAACCACGAGCAATCTAAAAATTATAATTATTAAAAAAAAATGATAATTAGTTGGAAATTTTATTAATTTAAATATATACAAGTATATACCTGAAGGATTGCACAAATTATAAAAAAAATAAAATAATTTGTTGAAAACAACATTTCAGTAAATAAGCTTATGGAATCTGAATAGAATTGAAGACAATTTATTTTAATTGAAAATTATTTTTATATAGAATTCAAAAAAAATAAAAATATAATTAATTATTTAGAACTAAACCATAAAATTATAATCTACTAATTAAAAATGCGTATATAAATATAAAAAATTGCATAGAATGAATGCAATAAGTTGAAAAACAATTAGTCATTTTATTTTACATTAAAATCGATTGAATGAATCGCTTTGAATGGTTGTATGATAGATATCAAACAATGTTGTATGTATGATCGATTGCGTTTGACCTTGATTTCGAAAACAATAACAAGACTAATAGAAATTTCTATATAAATAAAAGTTTGATAACAATTGATTTTTTAGTTTCAACACCACAAATTTATATTTATGCAATATTGTAAATAATGTTCCAAAAAAGAAGCAGTTTTACTTTCATACACACACATTTTCATGCAAATAGGCAGTCAAACACAATTTTTGTTTGTCAGCATTGAAGCACAGATATAAACACACATTTTCACCGTAGAAGCAATAGAAGAAAGTATTTTAAATATTTCATTCGAATGCCTAAATTTATAATTCAAATTAATGCATCTTATTTCAAATCAAACATATTAATTTTTTTTTTGACTTCATGTTATCAAATGTTTGATTGTGTTTTTTATATTCAAACTTTTTATATTTCATAATTTTATCTGAAATTCGGCATTTTGTCGTTTGAAATATGAAAATGCGTTCACAGCATGTCTTAAAGCATGTATTATATAAATATTAAATAAAATATTAAGGATATTAATTAATTTACAATACTTAAGAATATTTAAAAAAATATCAAATTGAATTTCGAAATATCGTTTTCATTGCGCTTAAGCATAAAATTTGATGTGCGCATTCTTACAATATTTGATTTGATCTCAAAAATTGAATGCATTTACATACAAAAATTAGATTGTCGTAAGCATGTTCCAATTAATTTTAATAAAACTTCACGTTTGATTTAAATCAATTGCAATTGCGTTTGTATGTGTATGCGCATGTTTATATTTTATATATATATAATGTAAATTAATTCTTTGTTAGCTCCTAGCATTAAAAGACTATTACTAACATAATTCATAAACTTTATCATAATAAGCAGTTAAAGTCAAATTTTTGAACTCCTTTACTTCTATATAGTATGTATGCAAGTAGATAGCGTAAGGAAGATCATCTTAAGATTGAAATTTTTACCAATTTTTTTAAAAGAGACTCACTTAAAATGTAAAAAATATTATATTAACGACTATAACGTGACTGTAATTTAAAAATAATTTCTAACTGTAAGCACCAATTTATTATTGAAGTAAGTAACAAAATAAAAAAATATATATATGTGTGTGTAGGTATGTGGGTTACTTATAGTTAAACTGACAATAAACCGCAAACTATATCAGTAGTTCTATAAAAAGTAACTTTCAAATTAAGTTTGTTTTAATACACATACATGCGCACGTTATTGTGTTTAAGTAAGCGTTTTATTAATATTTTATAAAACTTCAAAACTATTATGCTTAGTTCAAATTTTTTTTTTTGTTACATTATAGATTCCGCCACACCGACGACTTTCACTTTTCATTTCGTCATTTAAAATAATTTTAATAATTTTGTCGGTTTTGTTTTCTTCTAAATTTTTAAAAGTTTTTCATTATAATTTTTTTTTCTTTTTTGCTTCCCAAAACCACAAACTTTCCACAATATATATGTATGTATATATGTTTGTAAAATCTTATACAAATATACAAACATAATATATTTGAAAAATACATCATCTAATTTTTTCTTTTCTTTTTTTCAATAAGCGATCACAAATTTTTTAAAAGAAAACACTTTATGTAAAAAAATAAAACGCTATTGTTGTGCGATGCGATGCATTGCGTTAACGCATTTCTAATTCTATTTTATATCAATTTTTGAATCTTTCAAATTCCGGTTGACTGAATAACTTTATGTGTAATGTATAAGTATGTATAAGAAAGAAAGAGAAAAACAAAGAAAACGAAAAGAAAAAAAAAATTTTTTTGATATATTTTTGGTACAAAACCTATCATTAATTGGTTTTGACATTGTTATTTCCATTGTTGTAAAATGCAGCATATTATGTACACACTCGAACATGTATAAGCTTATATATATATATATATAATCTACACAAAACTATATAACGTTATATCATACTTATGTATACTAACGGAAATGGACAGGAGAAAAAAAATAATAGTTTAATTGACATTATCTGTCAATTTCGTTTTCTGTTTTAGTTTTTCTTCTTGTAATTAAACTTTCAACTAAGTATATATTTTTGCTAATAGATTTAGCATTTTGCTAATATACCATTACACATTTAAAATTTAAAGCATGGCCGACCCCATACCAACC